CTCGCTCTGCAGTTTGATGCCTTTTCGTCTTCACGTGGACAATCGATTTCGACCTTTTGCAACCATCACACTCCTACCACAGTATTATATATGAGGAAGAAATGCGGCTGGAGATACAGGTACTCTTCGATAATGCAAACGAGTGTCGAATATATCTGCTCAAACCATGGACGATGGTTGCCCGGATTTTCTCGGTATGTTCTATATTCTACAAAAAAGGCGTGTTTGGGAATGAACTGTTGTTGCACATCATCTCCGCTTCCAACCCCAAACCAAAATGGTTGCAGTTACAATCTTCTACAAAATGCCGTTTTTAGCAATCAAAGTTATTATTAGCGCCTCGAAATCCTCTTGTCGCTACCGCTATAATTGAGGACCGCAATACAAACTGCTGCCCAATACTGTCCAGTATATGAGTGGTTGATTTGATCTATCTTCCCGAAAATAACCGGCTCAAATCACATACATCGGCGTATACTCTTATGCATAGCACACCTTAGAGAGAGACGTCTACAGCAGTATGCACCTCGCTCTGCAGTTTGATGCCTGTTCTCGTCTTCACGTGAACAATCGATTTTCGACCTGTTGCACCCATCACACTCCCACCACAGTAGTATTACATAAGATGAATAATCGCGGCTGGAGATATGTAGTAGCCTAGCTACAGCTGCAGCAGCAGCCGATCGGCAGATGCCACGTATATCTATCTATTGTATAACAAAGTACTATTAAAATGCGTTGTTCGTGACCCCGCATCGTACCGAGAGATGATTTGGAGTATTAAACATCACAGCTAGCTGTTCTGCTTGTAGTATCTCGCCGTTCGTGACGACATCGTGCCAAGACACAGGCGGCACTTGAATTCGAGACTTGAAACGAGGGTTTTGGAGTCTTCCTCGTGACGCCATCGTACCAAGATGACACAAACGACACTTGCAGTAAAATAACTCAATTGGGAAAGCAGCCGTGTAACACGGCAATCTACTTAAGATGAGTTTGGCTGGCAGACAAGATAGAAAAAACCATGCCAAAATTGTGACTTGTGTGTGAGATGGAAAAAATATAAAAAAATGTGCCTCGTGTGTGTGGTTCATCCCATTTATTCTGTTCTGGCGCCGTTTTGCAGGCCTTTCGGCGAATATGCCTGATGTATCAGCTCGGATTACTCAAGAGGAACACACAATTTTTTTTTTAAGAGAAGTGGCCCGGCAGGGACGCTTCTTGTTCTTTAAAAATAAGCTGTTTAGAGGGGGGGGGGGAACGAGCTCAAGTATTATGTCTGAAGTCTGTCTGTGACCAGCCTCGGTATATTACCCAGCAGATTCCAGCCCATTTCACCATATCTCGGCACCAAATTGCAATCTAAGACGTGTTCATAACAAGTAATATTTTGCCCAAGCTGCCCCAACTGCTACCTTTTCAATCCGTGCTCTGTGCGTCGAGATAGTGCAGCGTTGGTACCCAACTTGAAGCAGGGAAGTTTCTGGCCCCTTGCAACACTGAGAGGAGGCGCCGTTTGATTTTGAACCAAGACAGATGGCCTCGCACACCACACACACAGAGCCAGACATGGACAAACAGGGAGGGGGAGACACAGACCACAGCGAGGGCGAGACGGCGGGAGAAGGGTGTGCCATACACTGCTGCTGTTAGCTATCGGCGGAGGAAGTGAGAGGAGAGATCAACATTTGGTTGCAGCAGCAGCAGCAGCAGCAGCAGCAGCGGCCTCTCTCTCTCTCTCTCTTTCCGCGGAGAGGGGCACATGACACCAACAACACCCAGACGCTGCTACGCACCATCATTGGTGCGACATGCACTGCTGTACGCCTCTCTACACTTTTGTGCGCGATGGCCCAGTGTGCGACCAGTGCCTCCCGTGCTAGCCTGGTTACCCATCACACGCTTGAACGCTTTTGAGATTTCTCGATCAAAGCTCGAACCAACAAGCGAAGCACAACAGCAGAGACATTTTTTTTTTGGCTGCTAGCCCTATTTTTTATTATACCACACCCCTCCCTCCCCCCCGGAGTCACATTGATTGGCGCCCCCCACACCTCAATCAATATGTTGTAATACTGCTGTGTAGTAAACGGGCCAATGGTAGCAACGCACGAGCCTACTGCAGGTACGTTTTTCAACAAAAAACTATTCCACCTCCCGATCTAGTACCACCTTTCCCCCTGCGGTGCTTGCCTTAATTTCATCTCGAGAAGGGTTCAACGATCCCTTTCCCTCGTCGACCGTGAGGCCGAAGCGTGTATTGCTTGCTCACGATCTAGATTGCGTTCCACTACAGGTTGCTGAAAGTAAATCCCGGGCAAAAACCCCTCCCGAGAGATAATCGAGCCCACAATCTGCCGCTAGGGAGTCGTGCAGATTGACCAATAGACAACCTCTATCTTCTAGCCTATGTCAAGACGATTGGAATATAGTTCTACAGCACGACACACCGGACCTATCAGAGTGCAGAATGAAAAGTAGAATTGTGTCTTGGGTTGGCTGCTGCGCCTGCGGCAAGTGTGCTGCTGTACACGCTCGATGACATTTACACTCTCTGGCATGTGTGGCCATCAAGGGCTGCTGGCGTGCGGGTTTGCAGCTGGAAAAATGCACCTGCTGCACGTAACATGTTACAACTCTACGACATGCTTTATGCGCCACTCTGCTTACACGCGTGTGTTTCGTGGGGTCAGCAGTAGTTGCGTGGCCTGAGCCGGCACTACTGAGGGTGTACAGTATGGACGACAACCAGCAGGAGGGCACTACTGCGTGCTCGGTCTGTGCCGAACGATTTCATTAATACTAGTCCGGCTGGTGACACGGTTCAACGGGCAATACCGTGATGATACTGTGTCACATACAGATCTACGGGTCTTTCCGTCTATACCAGCGCGATCGGCATGAATCTTCGCTACACAAAGCACGGTAGCAGAGAGAACAAAACGATGACACCTGATACTGTGCTCGCTTGGTTGTGCTTGAACTGTCGACAAATCAAAGCGGGAAAAAGAGGGATGTCGAGAAGAGATAGAAAGTCCGGGAGAGGGCAAAAATAGCTTGCCACAACTGAAGCACGGAAGAGATGGAACAGCTGCATGTTTGATCTAGAACGAGAGAAAAGCAGTCGTACAGCAAGAGTCCCAGCAGCATCACACAGAAGCCAGCGCCGGCGGTAGCGGTAGCAGCAATGTTGCGTTGTTCCTTGATTTTGAAGACCATGTTTGGGTTTGAAAACGCTCTTAAGCTGGTAAAGCAGCCGAGTAGCCCAGCAGCACGGCAGTAACGTGCTCCGCAGAAAATTCATGGGTGGTTGCAGCCGCTGGCAATATTTCTGGGTCTGGGTGTGGTTTGCGTCTTGCCCTCTATGTCTCCCTTCTCTGTAAGATGTGGGGGGACCGAATGCAGTGAATCGAAAGGTTTCTGGATTTTGCTGTATTCCACGTTTCCCCGAAGCTATTTGTGTTTTATTCTAAGGCCTTCCCAACTCAGTGCAGCGCAGTTTTGTTACCCGTCGATTTGAAGAGTGCACGGTGCGCCACAGATGAGTGCGATTTCTCAACATTGTCGATATTGTACGGGTGCACCAGTATGCTTTGTTGGTGACGTCGAACTACAACATTCGGGAAGAAATGTGGAAGTGATTTTAGGTACACGATGTTGAATAAAAAACCGAAGAGGCAGAGAGCGGCAAGGACACAGCCCTGTACCTAAAAGGCACCCTCAACCGCCCCGAAAATCGCATGTACGGGCAGCACGCAAATTGTGTTTTGGGATGTTGCTCATGTGTCAAAGGTGAGCGCATGGGTCAGGTTTAGAAACCAGACCTAGTCCGAGGAACCACGACAGCACACCATCCTCGCACACTTGCTCCACGACAACACCCAAATTGTATTCACTGCCTTCCTTCTGCGGTGCAGCCGCTCGTTTCCCTCGTCGATCATGAACCCGCAAAATAGGTTTTCGCTTTCCACACTGTTTGGGCGTGTGGGATCAAATGCCAGTTCGTGTGACTGCCCCGAGATTCGAACCCGTCCAAACGTTCGAACCGCAGGTACTGTTGTGTGACCGAGCTGTGGTGCTGTGACGGTCAATCAAGTCCAGTTGAAAACAGGTGTATGATCGTGTGTTGTAATATAAGACTTCCTGTCCAGAAGCTCAAGAACTTATTTGGACTGTAAAAAGACGCACGTACGTCAGAGTCAAACACCATGTCAAGAAACAAGTACAAGCGTCAGCGTTACGTGTGCACAGCTGCAGCACTTGCGACCAGTAGGCAGAAACATGAAGTTTCCAGCAGCAGTCGAGCCATGTCGTGACGGTGTCGGCAGACGGGCAGAGCAATGCAGACCGTGCAGACTGCCGAGCTTCACGTCGGAACCGACGTTGGCATTGCGGCATACGTTTCAAACAAGGAAGTTCCAGAAAATGTGTAGACAACGCTTTTTTTATCAACCTGTGCATATAAGCATGAAGCAAAAGCGAATTGGTATGTAGCTCTATAGAAGCGCAGAGATGGGTGAGCTCTAGGTGCGAGGGTCGGATGCCCTCAAGAGATCTGCATGTGGGCAAACCAACAAGTTGTTGGCGGATTGTTCTTGCAGTCAAATTCCTACAGAGGCCTTCATGTCGAAGGAAACACTCGCCGACCTTCCAAAAATGGCGCAAACCCTTTCGGAAGTAGTCTTAGATATTTGCATTAAATATTGAAGTATGTGTTTCCTCTGATGGCTTTTTGCATGTCTTGCATCACCCCTTGCCGCGGTGCTCTCCTTACCCCACTCCGTAGGGAGCCCTTGTTTGCTTCTACCTTTTTCTCCCATTTTTTGCGATTTCGCGCTTTGCTTTTTATCTTCAAATTCCTTGTCGCGTACTCTTTTGGTCTGTTGCCGCGAAAGTCCAGTCTGGATCAATCTGTGCTAAGCTATATATATATATAGGACAAAGTGGTTCTTCGTGAGCGAACAGTTTTTGAGTCGCACCACGGAATCCCATCTCAGCAGGTGGTGCGGTTCTGCCTTCAGAAGAACCCAAAGGAGCGACCCAACTGCGCAAGTCTTCTGAGCAAGAAGTTCTTCAAACGGGATTTGCAGCCCGATGCTATCGTCAACGAGCTGTTGCTGCACGTCCCTGTGGTGGGAGAAGGAGACGGGGGACTTGAACGGAAGGAACATGGGTGCGTTATGGCCAATGTTCTGGGTCCAATTTCCCATGTTGCTCAGTGCTCGCCCCTTCTCGAGCATGCTTTCTTTTTGATTGCTTGTATTGTCTCTTCCTGCACAGGTCGCCGGCGGCATGCCTTGTGGCGGAGCAAATGACCTTGGACGTCAAGGCACGAGGCAGCTCCAAGTCGACCACACCAATGGAGGAGGAAGGGGAGTACGGGCGGCCAAAAGTGAGTTGACGTCAACGGCTTGAATCTCAATAGGGCAATCATAAGTTCAATAGGGCAAAATCACAGGCTTTGCGGTATTTTATTAGCTTGAGGGCCCGCTGATCACAACGTTCGTGATGAAGTGACTGCTTTGTTTTGCGACGAAATAACTTCTTTTTGGTACCTCCCTAGGCAAACTCCCCCCGGTGTTTGCCATCGAGATTGGGTTTTCGTCGCTTGGCAACGACTTTGTAAAACAAGCCAATTCACTTCGTGAACTCGGCAATCAGGTTTGTACCTCGTTTTTTTGGCGGTAACCATACTGGTGGTCGAGTAGATCATGTTGTGCGGGGTGGAGAACCCTCACTCCGCGCAAGGGGGATGATCGCACCACGTTGTGTTAAAATGGTCAAGCACCCTCGAGGCAGTTACACAGTGCTTACAACTGTCTCTGGAAGTGAAAGCACCAGAAAATAAATTAATTCATACGCAGCTGTCATCCGTACGCAAGGAAGTAAGCACAAGATGCCGAACACCCTTGGCAGGATGCAGCGCACCCTTCATGCGACTCGCCGAATATCTCACGGCGCTTCGCGCTTGGTGATGTGAGAGCCTGGTCCGGTGAGAACCCGGCGTGCTCCGTCCCGGCTTTGTAGGGATGCGAGGTCAATGGTCTAACGAATACGGCATGCACGACTATGAGTACCCCCCCCCCCCCCACACACACACCCTAGGCAAACTCACAGAGGCGTGTTGTGCCCGCACAAAAATAAAATGCTTCCACGGCGAAATTTGCCCCTAGGCTGTCCGTGAGCTATGTGCTCGTTTGTTCGTGACGGATTTTCCAGCAGCAGACCCAAGCCCATCTCACCCACCAACAACGCACCAAATGAAAAGCCAGGTCTTGCACGCACTGGTCATTTGACCAACAATCTGTGCTCAGTTGGTCGAGATAGCAGCGGATGTCTGCTTCGTTCGCGTTGTTCGCTTTGTCTGCTGGCATCCATCCCGGCCGAAACAGCGAGAGGCATCGTTTCAGCCTGGCAGATGTATTTTGTATTGATATGTTGCGTAGTTGAGTAAGCCGATGAGGGGGAGACGTCAGGGGGAGAGAGACGGGTGTGGCCTTCATTGTAAACTGTGGGAACGATAAGAGGTCGGCAGGGCGTGGCTACACACGCGTGTGCTCCCACGGTGTGTTATTTTCCAAGAGAGGTGATCTCTCCGGCCGCTGCACACCTCGGCAACTGAGAAAGAGGACAGAGATGAGAGACGCTGTTTTGTTGTGCTGCTCTTGAATAGACGAAGGCACATAACACACACACACGCTGCAACACACCAACACTGATATGGTATGTGCTTGTTTTTGATGATACTTCTCGCTCATCACACGAAGCTGTTTGTTTCATTTGGGGAACCTTGTCGTTTGATACAAATTTGCAGGAATAAAGGATGCCGGCAGGTCACGAGCTTCTAGTGTTCGAAATCACGCGCGCCAACGTCGGGTGCGCTAATTTTCTATCAACCCTTCGAACGATTTGCCCGGTTCTCGGTGCACGTCTGCAAAATTCAACTGGATGTGTGCAACCTTGCGCTGGTTTCGACACATTCGCAACGTTTGGACCGGGTTGTCTTTCATGCGGTGTGGACTTCCTTCGTGTAACCCAGGTAGCGCCTCCGGAACACCCTGCTGGAACCACGTGGGTGTGGGACGATGGATCTGGCGTCGTGCTGAAAGCCGAGGGAAAGGCGAAAGAGGAAATAGAGCAGCGCAAAGCGGAACAAAAAGAGGAGGTGCGTCACGTTATGCAATAGTCGACGAGTTACAGGCTGCAAACTGGTTCACACCGCACCGACTGAACCTCAAATAAGCATTGATCAAGGCATCGCATATTCAGTTTCATCCAGTCATCGCTGGCACACTGGCGTAGTGGCACTGCATGTATGCACTATACCATTATTCTGCTGTTGTTAGATGTTTCCAGTGGCGTGCTGTGGGGGAAAACGACTGCGCGCAAAGCGAAAGGGACGCTCTCCCTTTGTGTGCCATTGGGATTTACCTGGTCTTGTGTTGTTGCATATTTATTCTGCTATTAGTACATGACAAGAAGCGCCGATCGCTTGGCAGCGCCGCCTCTCTATGGATATGTGCTGCTCCAATCATCGCTGGTGGTGCTGTTTCACTGGACCGCTGCTGTCCTTTCTTCCATTGGCGACGAGACCGTGTGCTTGCTAGTATATGCGTGTATATCTGTTTGTAGTCTTTGTCAGTATCCTACATGTACAGCTGCAGTAGAAAGTTCTACCATTCTACAGCATACAGGTGTTGCGCGCTCATACTATCCTACTATCATAGCTTGGGTTCTGCTAATTGTCTATGTTGCGAACAGGGAGCAAATAAGGATAGAACTTGGCTACAACGTCTACATGGACGTGGGTTCGCCCCTAACGTCCTCAGGCGACGTCCTGAGAGTTTTACACATAACATAAGTTGCAGGTGAAGGCGTAGACTGATAAAGATGACGAACATAATGTGTGTGTACGAGAAGCGAGGATCGAGTGTGATCCAGCAGTAGCATGAACCTTCTGCCGAACACAGACGCGTATGCGTCCATACAGTGCATGAAAGAAACATTGATACTGCCGTAGTGCAGGTTCGCAGTTGGGGATTCAAATGTTAGTCATGGTGCGGTGAACTACTGTGAAGTTGTAATTGTTGAATTGCAGCGTTGAATCCGGGGGCACACATCCACACGACATGGCGAAGTTTGTGTGTGTCCACGTGTCTGTTCCGTGTGTAACTTTGGCTATTGCTATTGCTGTGGTACTTCATGGCATGGTTGTGTCGGGGTTGGTCATGAGCTAATTATTCCATCGGGCCATATTTTCCGAGTTTTGCGATTTGCCGCGACGCCCCGATTCTCCGATGGTCCGCCGGCAAGTTGATGTCCGAGGTTATTCCGATTATGTCCCAAATACAGCAGAAGCACCCTCCGAAAAAAAGAAGCGAACAGGCACCCACACGGTCTTCGATGGCCACACAGCGACAGAATAACGCATCGCCCGCCCTGTAGGTGGCTACTTGGCCTATTTTCATGTCACACATACATTGTGCTCGCATAAGGTTTTCGGAGCGCAAGAGGACGTCGTCGCGCTACAGTGTCGATCCGCTCTCACGCACAAGCACGCGCAATCTGGTTGCGGAAAAGACTCTATCTTCCTCGTTGCTTATTGAATCTTGTCCGGCTACGTCGCACCTGCCCAGTTCGCGATTCAACCAGCCTCCCACTGCTGTCCAAGCACTCTAAAACGCGATCAACGCATTGATCGAGTTGCACTCTAAAACGATACCCTCAATCATGTTATCGAAAAGCCCACGACACATAGTACCGATAAACATTCCCGCACATGTATGTATGTACATAATCCGGGTCTTAAAACTCACCATTTTGTTTTGCACCAATACTCCCTCCCATTGAGAACCTTCTGGGTTTCTCGTTTTTCGCACATATGCGTAGCAGTCAGTATGTATTTTTGGTGCGGAACACTCCGCGAAAAAGAAATCGCGATAAACTTGTTAGTCATCGGCCACAGTCCTCCGGAGAAATCGGATACAAAGCGTGAATTGGCTTCAGTATGAAAAACGTCCCCTCCCCAAACACGGGGAAATTTTTCCTACTATAGCCAATTCTGGAATTTTTCCAGTACCAGGCTGGTTTTACCACCCAGGGGACACGTGGTTTGGGAGGTTGTGTACAGAAAGTTAGGGGCCAAGGAGAGGCATCACACAGCATGTCACACAGCGTACCACCTCCGCCAAGCACGATAGACCAGGGTTCTCGCGTGCGTTGCACACAGGTCGACCACGGTGCGGTAAACAGACATTTGAGTGCTGTGTCCCCAAAGTGTCCCTAATGGGCGTCCAGTATCATACGGAGAGGGTTAAAACTCACCGTATTGAACGTGCAGCAGGCATGTACCCTTCTAAATGTCACTGCAGGTCACGGCTGAAACTTCTAGAGGGGAAGCTTGTCGAAAGGCGGAAAAGGGTTCTCGCAGTATTTGATGCCTACTCTTGTAGTGGGGCGGAACGTGCTGAAGCGACCATTTTGGTGGCTCCAGACTCCTAAAGTCAGCGGTTCGAGTCCGCGCTGGAGCTCTTTATTTTTCCCAAACCTTCTTTTTGGGCCAACTCTCAATTTTTTCTCTAGACTCGAGGGTTTCGAAGCTTTTGTATCCCTGTTTTCTCCCGAATGCTTTCCCCCCCCCCCAAGCCCTGTGCAGAGCAGTTGCATACCTTTAATTATATTCCGTTCGTGACGCTATCATCGTACCCGAAGACACAAACAGAGAAAATAGAAGCAAAACATTCAACCGCCTCCCGCTAAATGTTCGTTTGGTGCACCTGGCAATAGTGAGGTTTGGAGGGTCGTACAGCAATACGCACAAAGTGCAGTACTATTTTCATTCTCTTCCGTTCGTGACGCAATCTACCGAGACACAAAGAAAGCAGACACAAAAATAGTTGAAATCAATTGGGCAAGCAGCCGTGGGCCCACGGCAATCTGTGTATGGATATCAGCAGACTGGTCTCTCAAGATTAAAATTTATGCAGGTACAAGCGCTGCTAATAATTTGTCGCCGACATCTTTGGATCAGATATCATACAACAGTTTACATCAGCAGTGCGTATTACATACTTCGAGTACATGTTGACCGAGAAATATTCGGCGACAAGCGGAAACAAGAGGGAATGAAAGGTAGGCGGAAGATTAGGCGGCCCTGATAGGGGCAATTTGTTCTGACACTGATCCAACCAACCTTCGGTTGATTTCCGTTGTTTACCTGTAGGAAAACCTGCCACAACGGCCTTAGTCCCTTGTGTCTTGCATGTACTCCTAAAAGGTACCTGGTAGGTAATCATCCTGATACCCCCGTTTGTCTTGCTCGTGTTGTATTGTTTCTGCAGAACGATGGTTTCTACGATGAGATGGAAAGTATCGGGCAGAGCGAGTGGACCCAACAAAAAGGATGAACCCCCTTTGGCTGATTGACAAGGAGGCAAGCCTTTGGCTCAATGACAAGGTGTCGATTTCCACCGTACCGGCTGGTTGTACAATGCTCGAAGGAAGTATCGGGCTCGAGATTTGCGTCTTTAGCGACTGGTTCGTCTTCCATGAACACCAGCTGTCCGTAGCCAAGTGCAATTACAGGCTCCAGGGGCGACTTGGGCCTGGCTTTTCGTCATGGCCCTCAGCATGGCGCCCACCCCGTGTCGGTGACTGCTGAGGGTTATGGCCTGCGTGTTGAGTGGAAAGGTACCAGAAATGGTGTCCAAGTCGTTTATTGGAACAACAGCACGCAAGGCATTGAAACGATTGTGCTAATTGTGTAGTGGCGTTGGTTGTTCTGCAGACTGGATTCGCCTTTCTGGAATATGGTGGAACTATGTGTTGCGCCGCTGGCTGTGTGAGGACATGTGGCCACCAGTCAAAGAGCCCGTCGATCAAATTATGGGGTGAAGGGGCATTTGGCACCGATGCGGACTTCTGGATTGCATTGACGCAGATCTTCATCCACCTGCCCAGAAGAATTGCACACCTGCCAGGAGGCCTGGATTTGTCCTTCGGCGGGTGGTGTTTTTGTGTGTTTACAAGGTTGACCGCTCGACCTAAAACCGTGTCAGGGTAAAACTACGTGGGCAATAATAGCTTCGAGGTTTGAGATTGCCGCGAAGACACGCGATTTCCTTGGTTGTTGTAGTCAATGTAGCGCCAGCGAAATGTGTGCTAGGGAGTGGGGGAGGGGTGGGGGGGTGTACTCATAGCCGTACATGCCTTAGTCGTTCGACTAATGATCTCGGATCCCTACAAAGCCGGGTCGGACCACGCCGAATTCTCACCGGACCAGTGGGGGGGGAGCGGATTGCCTCTTCCCGCCCAGGGTGATGAACTTCGTTGTTGTGTCCCCCCGTTCAATCTTCCCTGTGAGATGTAGAGGGAGCTAGCTGGCTCACGACGCCATTTGCATATTTTACTTTCCCGATGAGCACAGGGTGGTACCCCGAGGCTGAAGTGACCGATGCGTCTCTTATTTCTTACTTTGTTGTACGCCGAACTATGTTACAGAATAGATCAACATCGCCCCCAAGATGAGCGCCATGACGGATGTTGGTAGTTATCAACTGCAGCCGTTAGGTCAACGTTTGCCTTTTCGCGTGCGAACCTCCTGAACCTTCCCCAGTGAGCCAACCTCGCACATTGCTGCACGCCATGCCATTCCTATTCCGAAGCTGCTGTGATTGCAATGTCTTTCCTTTTCTATTTTCCAATTGTAAATCGGGGTTTCAGTCATTACCATCCCGAAAAAAGCATAAAAGAAGTCTTCCCGAAATTTCGATACTTTTGATCAAGTGAAAAAAATGTGATCGGAATCGATGATTCAATCAACTGAAAAATGTCATCGCATATGTCATCGCATTCCACTTGTTGGTTGGATCGATTGGCAATGCAATCGTTCAAGAGAATGTTTAGGAAAGTATTCTCATACTCGAGTACTTTTGAGTATTCCCCAATTGTAAAATATGGGGTTTTAGGCAGCAAAATCCAGCGCAAAAGCAATACAAAGAAATCTTGTCCGTACTCAAATCAAGTACTTTCGAGTATTCCCCACTTGCAGATTGGGGTTTAAGCCAGCACAATGCCGCGAAAAAGCAACAAAGCAATCTGTCCGAAATTTCGATACTTTTAAGTCAAGTGAAAATGTGATCGGAATCGATACATTTATCAAGTGAAACAGGTGATCGGAATCGATGCGTGAATCAAGTGAAACATGTAACCCTTTCTCAACTCTTGGATGAAGTGATGCGGAATTAAGAGCGAAGCTGGAGTTGAGAGTAAGATAATTTTCGGAACATGAACTAAACAGGCTTACGATTTCTGAGAGCCATATGTCTACTGCTTCTGAACCAGCTTCCCGCATGCAGTAACCAGCGGTTGAGCCATCCCATGGCAGTGTCAGGACGGGCAGAGCGTCTACACCCAACACTTATTAATGCCAGAGAGATGCTTTCCGCACCACTAGTGTCCCGATGATCTGGGATAACAAGGTGCAGCCAGTGTTGTATCATACCGGTGCTGCTGTCACATGCGCATGCCTGCCGTGTACTCGTCCCACAATGCCGTTGGCTTTTTCTGGCGGTTGGCGATTGGCGGACCTCATGCCGCTCACAACCATGCACACACTCGTGCGACACAAATATGTCCCAACCATGTAGCTTCACTTCTGTGTTGCTCTGCACTTTCTCTCCTGACGCCACCAAAGTTCTTCATTCGAGTATTCCCCACTTGCAGATTGGGGTTTAAGGCAGCGCAATGCCGCGAAAAAGCAACAAAGTAATCTGTCCGAAATTTCGATATTTTTAAGTCAAGTGAAAATGTGATCGGAATCGATACATTTATCAAGTGAAACAGGTGATCGGAATCGATGCGTGAATCAAGTGAAACATGTAACCCTTTCTCAACTCTTGGATGAAGTGATGCGGAATTAAGAGCGAAGCTGGAGTTGAGAGTAAGATAATTTTCGGAACATGAACTAAACAGGCTTACGATTTCTGAGAGCCATATGTCTACTGCCTCTGAACCAGCTTCCCGCATGCAGTAACCAGCGGTTGAGCCATCCCATGGCAGTGTCAGGACGGGCAGAGCGATGAAGAACTTTGGTGGCGTCAGGAGAGAAAGTGCAGAGCAACGCAGAAGTGAAGCTACATGGTTGGGACATGTTTGTGTCGCACGAGTGTGTGCATGGTTGTGAGCGGCATGAGGTCCGCCAATCGCCAACCGCCAGAAAAAGCCAATGGCATTGTGGGACGAGTACACGGCAGGCATGCGCATGTGATAGCAGCACCGGTATGATACAACACTGGCTGCACCTTGTTATCCCAGATCATCGGGACACTAGTGGTGCGGAAAGCATCTCTCTGGCATTAATAAGTGTTGGGTGTAGACGCGAAGAGATGCGTGAGCTCTGGATGCGAACTGAGTCTGTGTGAGATCACACACACACACATGTCCGAACTACCATGCATATCTCCAGCCGTAACGGCCGACTGAAGAAAATAGGGAACGGTCGTGTGAGACGAACACACAAGGTAGCCATGTTGTTGTTGTTGTTGTTGTTTCTCACATTAGCTCTATAGTCCTGGGGAGCCCGTGGTCTCAAAACCCGGCGCATACGACGCCGCGGGAAAAAAAAGCAAAAATAGGGTACAAACCACTCGGAAAAAGTAAAAAAAAGATCGAAAGAAAAGTACAGGTATCGCACCGACCGTTCGAGAAAAGAGCCCTCGGAAACCGATAAAAACTGAACAAAAACAAACATAGAGGAGGACGCTTCCCACACCCGCCTAAAGAAAAAATCAAAGGGAACGTACCAGCACCAGGCACTACGCACCAGCGCATGGGAGCAACGGAGCAAACTGGACAAAGAGGCGGCAGATGGGCAGTCAGCCAGACGTACAAAAACAAAAGCAACAGCAAAAGCGAGATCAAGGTACCCAACACAGCAGAGTAAGGCAGGGAGGTCATGAACAAACGAAACACAGCACAGAGGCCGAAGGCAATACAAAGGACATACATAAAGGAGTATAGCATACAGCAGGGAGGGAAACAGGGCGCAACAACATCAGCCGGGTACATAGTTCGCCACAAGTGCTGCCTCGGCCGCCCTACTGGCTTCTACAGCAGTGCCCGGTGGCTGTTTCTTCCCCCCCACCGCCGCTTCCCCGACTCTCTTTNACCGCCGCTTCCCCGACTCTCTTCTCTTCGGTCCTGAGATGGCCGTACTCTCTGCTTCTGCTTCCCTCGCGCGCTGGCGCTTCGCGGACGCTTCCGCCTCCTGCCTGTGCCATTTCCTCATGAACCATGCCGCCCCGTCCTCGACCTTGTTGTACCACACCTCTGGGTCCTTGGCGCTCGTTTTCCATTTACACCCCTTCCTTTTCGTCTCCCATGTTGAAGGCCACGAGGTCCTCTCCTAGACGAGACACCCAGTCATTCTCCTGCCCGCCCCGGTATCCCACGCCCCCCGCCATTGCTCCTAACAGTATGCGCTTGGGGAGGCAACTGTCCCCCATGCGCATAACGAAGCCCGCGAAACACAGTCTCCGTTTGCGCACGGTGGCCTCGATGGTTTCCTCGCAGCCTGCCTGGATGAGGGCCTGGGCATAGGACAGGGGGCGGTCTGAGCGTTTCCGCTTGCTCCAGCCGATGCACCGTGTAAGGAACTGGCGGTGGGTCCCATTGAGCTTCGTGTAGTGCTCCGCTGTTAGGCTCCACGAGGCGCACCCATACAGGAGAGTCTCCACCACTTCAGCCTGGAGTAGCCGAATCTTGAGCTGGCGGTCGGCCCGTCGCCTGTCGTACATCGAAGCACTGTTCCGGCGGTAGCACTTCCACGCTCGGCAGCTGCGGCTCGTGATCTCCCGGTCGGCCTTCCCGTCCGCGGAGATGGTACGTCCGAGGTACACAAACCGATCTGTCTGCTTGTACGTCTGGCCGGCGGCGCTGACCGTGAACGGGCGTTCCTCGATCCCTTTCGGCAGCATGCACATGATCTCCGTTTTTGGCTCCGATACCATCAGTCCGAACAGGCCGGCCACGCGCACGATGACCGACATCATCTTCTCGAGACTCTCCGGCGAGCGCGAGACGATGGCCGCTTCGTCAGCGTAGAGCATGGCCCACAAGGCCTCCGCGTCCGTCACCACCGTCGTCTTCCTCCCCGCCGACCTGCCCTTCTTGCCCGTGTACTCCACTTGTGTCCCGATCTTGACCATGTCCGCCGTCACCTTGGGGTCCTTGTCGAACTCGGCCACGGCGACCATGAGCATCGCGGCAAAGAACAAGTTGAACAGCAGCGGGGCCAGGTTGCATCCCTGTCGGAGGCCTTGGCCCACGTCGAACCATTCCGAGTACTGCCCGTCGTCCGTTCGGACGCGCGCCCTCATGCCCTCGTGGAAGTGGCGAATGACCGCCAGCATCTTCGGGGGCACGCCGAAGCGTCGGAGCACGTCCCACAGTAGGTCTCGGTCCACCGAATCGTATGCCTTGGTGAGGTCGACGAAGCACGCGAACACCGCAGTACTCTTCTTCCTCGCGAGCTCATGGAGCCGCTGGATGGCGAACAGCATGTCGAGCGTCGACCGGTGTGGGCGGAAACCGCTCTGCTCCTCCGGGAGGATGCCCTCTCGCTCGCAGTAGTGGCTCAGTCGTGTAGCGACGACCTTAAGCAGCACCTTGCCGGCGTGTGCGACGAGAGAGATGCCCCGGTAGTTGCCGCACTCCATCGTGTCCCCCTTCTTGAACAGCACTTTGATGGTGGCATCCTTCCACTGCTGTGGTACGTCCCCAGTCTGCCACACGTCCACGACAATGGCGTGGAACTCGCGGAGGAGACCTTGATCTCCGTCCAGGAAAAGCTTGATCAGCTCAGCCGGTAGGTCGTCCGGCCCGACGGCCTTTCTGTTGGCCATTTCCCGTACCGCTTCCTCAACCTCAAGTAGAGATGGGATGTCGTCGAGTGGCACGCACGTGGGCCACCGCTTGACCTTGTCAGCCGCATGCAGGTCGATGGTCGGCGACTTGGTGTTGAGAAGCTTGTGGAACCACCGTGCCCACCGTTGGCGAATAAACGTGGGGTCCCGAAGGACCTTGCCGTCCTCGTCCTTGATGTTCTGAGAGGTGAACGACCTCTTACCTTCGACGTCGATCATCTTCAGGTGCCTGTAGAAACCCGCCTGATCCCCCTCGCGGCTCTTCTTCTCGAGCTGCCGTACATAGCCCTCGAAGAACGTTTCCAGTGCTCTCCACCTCGCGATGCTGCGCTTCTTCCGCGCCGCCTTGAGCATCGCCTTCAGGGTCGCCTCGCAGGCGCTGTTCTTTGAGGCCCCACGCAGTTGCTGCTGGGCCGCCTTAATCTCTTTAGACGCTTCGGAGATCTCGTGCTGCGCTTCGCTCGTGTACCAGCCTCTCTGCCCTCGTGCGCACCTCGCCAGCGGCGCGGTCTCAGCAGCGGCCGACATCACCGTAGCCGTTAGCTCGGCGGCGGTCTCTCCCGTTGGCCGCCTGAGCGCCGTGGGCGGAGGGCGGCTGGAGGCCCTGTTTT